AAATTACGATGGTAGAAGTAGTTTTGCAAATGCTACTGTGCAAGCAATTTTTAATTGCTTTCTTACATCGAATTATTACGAAAACAAGATTAAAAGATCTGGATGCCTATTTAAACAATTACTTTTCATGTATGTAAATAATCATAGTGATTTGAGTACTCTTCCAATGTTACAAGACGTTGGAGATGATTTTGTAACCAACGATGAAATGGACCCAGCTATATTGTTCGATTCTTTATGTGGTAAATACCATGATATTAGAAAATTGTTTACTAATTACTTGCAGTGCGTAGACAAGTGTAGTAACTGTCAGTATGTTCATACATATCTTCTGGAAACAGTTCGATTATCATCTTCTATCTCTTCAATTGTGACTAATATTAATACTTTAATTGCAAATTCATATTCTCATTTTCGAGATGAAGAAGGGATTTGTACACAGTGTGGTCTAAAAACTAAACTTATACGTAAAACTAGTCTTTCAAAAACTGGTCCATTCGTAGTTATTTCATTAAATATCTTTTCTGATAAAGAAAAAGTGGATAAAAGTTATACTACAGGCATGCTTAAAGCTGCTTCGACAGAAAAAGTATATATTTGTAATAATGCTTATACGGTGAATAGTGCAATATTTTATGAAGGTGATCATATGGCCCAAGGTCACTTTTAAACAATGATAAAAGAAAATGGGACATCTAAATGGATAAAAATTGATGATCTAAATCATAATTATGAAAGATGGCCACCTAGTAGTAAAAGGGTCTATATTCTATTTTTGTACAACAAACATTCTAAATTCTTATAAAACTAAAAATATAATATTAGTGCTTTCTAGTGGTCCGGGTGCGATCCGAAATGCCTGCACTACTAACTTCCTAGTGAAAAGAATGATAAAATTTAGCTAGTTCGGCGTTTCTTTCAGTTTTTTTATTCTGCATCAAAATAGCTGGACCAATTTTGCTGAAAATCTAATCAGTTCTAAGCTGCATAATTACCTATCGAATGCAATTAGCCCCACATAGATATCATTTTTTGTTCTCGAGATAATTAAAGCGAAAAATAATTCTGAACACATATATGAACATACGTACATACACACACACACACACACACACAGATGTCTACTTAAAAACTATTGTATTCGACTCTGTGGACCTTGAAACGTGGAGATTTGTCAAATTTCGGGATTAGCAAAATCGAACTCATTACAATAATTTCTCACTGGGAAGTTAAAAATAATAATAAATACCGGATAGCAAACATGAAGTCTCCTTGTGTTTGTGGTTTGCTATGATTAAAATTTCATAAGTTACAGATATTGTCAAGAATCGGGTAGTACAAACAACTAACAGAAGAACGTTTCATTCGAGCCTACTTCAATAAAATTCTCTTTTTAATTTTGTGTAAAGAATACATGCTCTAAATCATATGACTTTTTAATTTCTATAGTCTAATCCTTTGATTTTTTTAACACTATTTCGAATAAAGACAATCACTGTTTGCATTCTTACTGACTTCCATTTGAGTCTGATAATAATTAATTCTCCTTTCTTGATGTGATTTATATCTAAAACAGAATTTTTAAAATAATGAGTTAATAAAAAAATTAAAAACATATTCACCAATTATATATTTTGTTCGAAATTACTGATTAGTTTCATGTTGCGCAGTAGTAGTACCATGGAAGTAAGTACCAACTGAAAAGATTTTTATTAGTAGAAAAGTGAGTATGCTACAATACTTTAAATGTTTTATAACTATATTTTATATTAAAACAAGTTATTGGACGAAAACAATGTATTTTATTTTGTTCAGTATGTATGTATGTATGTATGTATGTTTTATTTATTATAGCGAAGGAAATACATTTACGTATTCAACAGGCTCAGGTGTTTCGCCTGGATATGTCGGACTCGAGATGTTAATACCGACTAAAACCTCCGCTCTCCTCTAACCTCTGATCCCCACGGAAACCGCCGTTAGGCATTACTTCATGGGGGGAGGATCTAGCTACTGCTCTTACTTCTGGTTGCTGACTTTTGCTCTTTTTTTCTCAATGGAACGCAAGTCTATGAGGACTTCTGTGGCAAATTTGCTGGTAGCGTTCCACGCAGCTTCTGATGACAACATTGCTTCTACTAATGTCTCCGGCTGGATTCTCTGGTTCAGGACACTCTCCAGTTCACCACGCTGAGAATCAAAACGAGGGCACACAAAGAAAACGTGCTCTGCATCTTCAGTAACTCCTGGACAGGACGGGCACTCCGGGGAATCATCATGCTTAAAGCGGTAGAGATACGCCCGAAAACAGCCGTGTCCTGACAACATCTGTGTAAGATAGTAGTTGATCTCGCCGTGGTTTCGGTTCAGCCAGACATCAATTCGTGGTATAAGGCGGTGCGTCCACCTGCCCTTCACTGCAGTGTCCCACTGGAGCTGCCATCGGCTTACGCTGTTCTGCCGTTCTTCTGTTCTAAGTTCCTCAGCACTTAGTATGGTTGACCTCTTTCGGTGTTGAAGGGTCCGTCTTTCCTCAGCTATGACTTTAAGAGGCAGGGTTCCGGAAATGACACACACTGCTTCCTCAGATATTGTGCGGAAGGCGCTAGCCACCCTTAAAGCGCTCCGACGGTATATCGGTCCAGCTTTCCTCCATGATTCTGGCGTCTCGAGAGCGTCGGCCCAAATGGATATTGCGTATGTTAGCACTGATATGGCTACCGATGACAGCAGTAGCCTCCTGGCCTGCTTTGGGCCTCCGACGTTAGGCATTAGTCGTGCTAGGCTAGCTACCACTGCTGATGCTTTGGCACTCACGTGTTCGACTTGTTGCTTAAAATTAAGTCGGGCATCGAGCATCACTCCCAGATATCGGATAAATGGTTTTGTTGTGATTTCTTGTTCTCCGACTTTTAAGTTGATGGTTTCTACCGTCTTCCTACTAGTGATGAGCACTGCCTCAGTCTTATGCTTGGCTAGTTGCAAGTTCACCGTGTTCATCCACAGGTTTATTCTTCTAAACGTGATATCGAAAGCCAGGTTTATGTCTTCAAGATGCTTTGCGACGATCACCACAGCTACATCATCGGCGTATGCTACAAGTTTGACTTCTGCTGGCAACGCGATTCTCAAGAGACCATCATACATGATGTTCCACAGTAAAGGACCTAGGACTGAGCCTTGTGGTACTCCCCCGGTAATCTCGTACTCTTTTGGACCGTTCTTTGTGTCATATTTCAGGACCCTATTCGTGAAGTAGCTCGCTACAATTCTACGAAGGTATCCTGGCACGTTCTTTTCTTCGAGGGCCCGCATGACGCAGTTCCAGTTAGCGGAGTTGAAGGCGTTCTTAATGTCCAAGGTAGCCACTAAGCAGTACTTCTTCTTTCCACCCTTCCATCTAGTTCCTGCGATTGCATCCTTGGCTGTATTAACAACTAGGTTGATTGCGTCCAGGGTTGATCGTCCTTTTCGAAATCCATACTGATTGTCTGCCAGGAGTGAATCCACTACTGCTTCTATCCTTTGATGTATTATGCGCTCTAATATCTTACCCGCCGTGTCTAACATGCAAAGTGGACGGTAAGATGACGGCTCTTCTGGAGGCTTCTTTCCCTTGGGAAGCAGTACCAGGCGTTGCTGTTTCCACTTTCGCGGAAAAATCCCTTCCTTGAGGCACGCGTCGTAAACGTCCAAGAATAATGTCGATGCTGCCTTTACAGCTGTTTTTAAGGCAATATTAGGGATTCCGTCCAATCCCGGCGCTTTATTATTACCTACACGATTACAAGCCTCCATTAGTTCATCTTCCGTGACAGATGGAATGTCGTCCAGTTCGTCCTGTGCTAGCAGGTAGCTGAATTCGCGCTGTTGTGGGAAAAGCGCAGTTACGATCTTCTGTAGGAGTTGAGGGCACGTAGGCGACTGCATAGGCTGGTTTTTTAGTTGCGTCATGACGACCTTGTACGGCTTTCCCCATGGATCTTTGTCTACCTCATTGATTAGCTCTTTCCAACATTGTCTCTTACTATCTTTTATAGCTTTGTTCAAAGTTCGACGGGCTTTTTTGTACTCTGCGACCAGCTCCGCAGAGTTGGATTGCCGATAGCCACGCTGAGATATTCTTCTTTTCCTGTGACACTCTTTCCGAAGAACACCAATTTGATCGTTCCACCAGTGCACCGAAAGTCTTTTAATTGTACCACGTTTACGAGACATGCTAGCGTCACACGCCTGGGTCACTCTCTTCATCAGGACTTTGGTCTTATATTCTGCGCATCCAGCGATGGTCAGGTCACTATTGAACGCTACTAACAGTGCGCTAGGGTCAAAAGATTTCACCTTCCAACCGACGGTGTTAGATCTCCTGTTAGGTCTTCTGAAGCTCTGGTCATTTGATATTTCCCAAAGGATCGCGTTGTGGTCGCTGGCCGTGTAGATATCCATCACCTTCCAGTTTATGTTACCTCTGGTGAGGTTACTACTGACGAAAGTGAGATCTATAATTGAGCTTGCGTCTCCTTTAGTGTAGGTTGGCGTAACACCGCTGTTGAGCAGAACTACATCTAGTGTGGAAAAGGCTTCTAGTAGTTCCTTTCCTCGCGTATTAGTATGCTTGCTGCCCCAGTCTACTGCCCAGGCGTTGAAGTCTCCGGCTATTGCCACTGGGTAGTACTGCTTCACGTCCTCGGTTAATCGATCCAGGAATTCGGTGAATTCAACGATAGAGAGGCTAGGTGGCGCATAACAGCTGTAGAAGCGGATGCCATCTACTGATGCTGCTACAAAGCCAGCGTTGCCATTGTTAACTACGCTCTGAAACGGAAGATTGTTACAAGACCAAATGACAGCTTTAGTAGTGCTGTCTGTCTCCCATAGTTGGCCGTTAAGGTGTTTATATGGCTCAGCTATAAGTGCAAGATCAAGCTTTAGTTCACGCACTGTCTGCAAAAGCAAGTCATGTGCAGTCTCACAGTGGTTTATGTTGAGCTGCAGTATCTTCATGCTCTCTTATTTGTAATCTTCTGAAGTGCTTCTTGGAAGATGGGGCATTGACTGGAGCCAGCCCGGTGAGTAATATCCGTTGAGCTGGGTTTTTCAGCACATAGCATGCACTTCGCCTTATTTGGGCATTTAGCTACTTGATGATCTGCTTGTCCGCACTTGATGCACAACTTCGATCGATTCACTTCACTTATACACTGAGCAGCAACGTGTCCGTAGTGCCAGCACTTGAAACATGGCTGAGGCCTCTTCACCGCTCTGACCCGACAGTTTACCCAGCCGATCTTGATCTTGCCCCTTTCTCCGAGTACTGTCTGCGCTGTTGCTGTTGGTAGTGTCACAAGCGCTGATTTTGTGCCTCTGTAGGCCGGTCTGATTTTGATAGCTCCTATTGGTATCTTATAGCTATCTCCAGCTGCCTTTTGTAATGCCGCCAATACGTCATCTGTGGTCGTTGTATCATCGAGGTCTCGGATCTCTAGTTGCTCTTGTGGGCACTTACTGATGACTTCAGCTTCCTCTTTGAGGATGCTCGCGATTGTCTTCTGCAGGGCCTGTCCTTTGTCAGTGCTCCTTCTAGAGAGCGTTATGAGCATATTTCCGTCTCTGGTCTTACGGATCTTATCAACCGTATTGCAGACCTGCTCGTCAGGGACATCCTTTTTTATTCGGCGCAGTATCTCGGCATAATTTGCCTTCTCGACAGGTCGAATGATCAATGCATCCGGTCTCGTAACTTTTCGCGGTTTTTTCCGCTTAGGTTCCGGTCGGGGCTCTTTTGGGAGCTGATCTTTCCTCTGCTTCTTGCGTTCCTTCCTTGACAGAACTGTTTGCCAAGCAGACGCCTTCTTCTTTTCGATGTTTTGCGCTGCTGGTACTTGTGGCGGGCTTTGTTTCAAGTCTTTCTTCTTCTTGACTTGGCTGTCCCTCGGATCTGGAGAGTTTCGCTCCCGTTTTTTCCCCGTCCTGATACCAGTTTCGCTTTTATCCTCAGCGACCGATTCACCGTCGCCTTCGGCTCCGGTATCCATCTCTTCCACAGGCCCCATGGCAGTTTGATTATGGTTTTGCAGTATTTTGCCGAAGAGATTCTCCTGTTTTGCTG